GTGAAAAGAAGTCGTTGTTATCGATCCAGCGGCGCATGAGCTTTCGCCCTTTGGCCCAATGCCATGTAGTGGAATTTGCATGTTTTCACAAGCTGTTCTTTTCCTCCGTACAAGGTGTTCCACTTGTCTGGTCTCGGAGGGAGTAGAGTTCTTCTTTTCTCGCTGAGTGTTGGGCACTCAAATAGATGGTGTTCAACAGTTTCGTAGGGTAGTTACATAGCTGGCACTCTGGGGAGTGTTGTGGCTGTATTATGTTTAGGTGTCCATTGAGTGGAGTATGTTGCGTTCTAAGTCTGAAGATGGTGGCCTGGTCCCTTCTTGTTAGTTGGTTAATGCTGTCATTAGGATCAGGGCCAGCCATATGTCTTTAAACCTCTCTTCCAGTGTCTCCCACGTGAAAAGAAGTAAAATTAGGGAACTTGTAACGACTTCAGCAGCCAGGTGCAACCTTCAGTCCTATTTGGGTCATCAAAATTATCCTGTTATGCCATTCTTGGCACATAGGGCTCGCAGCCTATCCCTCCATTCCGGTCTATTTTGTGCAGTCAGTTCAAACAAAATTGTCACGTCAATTCAGCGTCCCTGTATTGGAAGCTTTCGGTTATAATTGTGACTAGATTATGTGCGCCATATAAAATGGCATAGCATTGCACGCCACCAAAGGCCCTGAAAAGTACTCCTGCAGTGATGATGCGATCAAAGAAGACAGACCCACATACTATTCCGACCCACGACGAAGTCGTCTGCCGGTGAGCTAGTGGGCAACCCGTCGCCGTTAAGGAGTCCTTTGCCTTTTACATGGGGGGGGGGGGGGGGGGGGGAAGGTGCCTGGTCTAGAGGAATGGTGTCCGCCTCGACGGCTAGAGGTTCCAGGTTCAATGCCCGGTTAGGGCTGGGATTTTTTCACGTGGACTTGGACTTCTGGTAATTTCCCCCTGGTCCCTGGGTAGTGAGATTAAACGCCCGTGTGCATTGTTGCGCACATGAAAAATCCTTTGGCAATTGGAAATCGAAAAGAGTAGCCTAACGGCGCTGGACGTGCAAAATTTAGAGTTAAAAATCTACCTAAAGTATTTCAGGATCCTCGCCGGTGCTACAGAGCCTGTACATTGTGTTGGGCTTCTTCGGACTCAGACTTGAGTTAGAAGAAGAGCGGAGCACTTATGGGGTTACTACCCGTGTGCCATGATGTTGATCCGCTGTTCAAACCTTCACACTTTAAACATTTTACAGTTACTTATATGTGTAAAGACGATTCTCCCCTTTCTTCCTCTGAACTCAAATCGTCTCCGTCATTTATGACAACGCAAGCGACGTTCCGTCCGGCCTCATCGTTAGAAACCGTGTCAGTGTGACAAACGGTGAGAACTTGGCCATTGTGACAGTTAGGCTGGAGACATTTCCTGTTCCCCTAAGTTGTCATATGTCACATTGTCTACAGACGTCGAACGTCACTCTTGTCGACTCCGATAATTACCGACGTGTCTATGTCAGTGTGTGCGTGTTTTCTGTGCCCGCGCGTGTTTGTGCATGCGTGCGTTCGTCTGTGCGTGCTTTGTGATTATCGTATCTTATGTTATTTTGCTCTATGTTGTACTGCATTCATTTATTTTATTATATTCTATTATGTTATAATATGTTATGCTATATTATATTATATTATGTAAGCCGGCCGGGACTGCACCCGGTACCCACTCAAGGCTGGGTCGACCTGAGAGCCAAGGTCATTTTTGAAAAAAGTCCGGCTCCGCCAGGGAGCGAACCCACGACCCTCCGATCCGAGGCGAGCGTCTAGCCGATCCGCCACGGCGACTTCCTCCCATAATATAGCCGGGCCTTAAATATAGCCTAACGGTTTAACAGGGTTTCCGGGACCTCTCCACAGATGCTCCTCATGTATAAACAAAATATAATACATAAATAAAAATGTAAAATAATATACGGAAATTGAAATGCATAAGAATGCAATGGTGAAAATACAATCTTGATATAACATGTTATGGCATAACATAAAACACCATAACACTGTAAAAAGATAATATAAGAAGAAAGGTATGGAAGAAAAACATATCACAGACAAAAGGGTTACAAGTGTATACTTTAAGACGATGCACGGAATAAAGTTTGAAGTTTGCAGTTTGAAACGGATCAACATCATGGCACACGGGTAGTAACACATAAGTGCTCCGTTCTTCTTCTAACTCAAGTCTTGAGTCCGAAAAAGCTCAGCAAAAGCACAGGCTCTGTAGCACCGGCGAGGATCCTGAAATACTTTGCGTAGATTTTTAACTCCAAATTTTGTCCGGTCAGCGCAGTTAGGCTACTCTTTTTGATTTCCAACTGTCGAGGGATTTTTTTTAACCTGCGCAACTATACACACGGGCGTCCGATCTCACTACCCAGAGACCAGGGGAAAATACTAGAATAAAGTTTGAAGTTTGCAGTTTGAAACGGATCAACATCATGGCACACGGGTAGTAACACATAAGTGCTCCGTTCTTCTTCTAACTCAAGTCTTGAGTCCGAAAAAGCTCAGCAAAAGCACAGGCTCTGTAGCACCGGCGAGGATCCTGAAATACTTTGCGTAGATTTTTAACTCCAAATTTTGTCCGGTCAGCGCAGTTAGGCTACTCTTTTTGATTTCCAACTGTCGAGGGATTTTTTTTAACCTGCGCAACTATACACACGGGCGTCCGATCTCACTACCCAGAGACCAGGGGAAAATACTAGAAGTCCAAGTCCACGTGAAAAAATCCCAGCCCTTACCGGGGATTAAACCCGAAACCTCTAGCACTTGAGGCGGACACCATGAAAAATATGAACTAAGGACAAAATACAAATAAAGAAGATAGCTTTTTTTTTTTTTTTTTAGTAAATGTCCAAATATGACTTATATATACAACTGTAAGAAACAAGCAATATAATCCTCTCTCGCCCTTTAAAAACACAGATCGTGTTGAGAAAAGGGTCAGTAATAGTCTAAGAAAACAAAAGCCCAGAATAGACAGTAAGATGCTACCTGGGGTTAGGTTATTTCTGTCGTAAGCATTTGGATTGTCAGATGTCACTCCCAGAAAAATGCCAGTTGCGTCATTCAGCTGTCAAACGATAATTCCGATTGTCACAAACCATGAGTCCAGAATGTATGTCGGATCTTTACCCCGTGTGATTTCCGATGATTAGGTTGTCAGGGATTTGTCAAAGTTGGCGACAATGGAAGGGAGAGTCATTTGAGTGATAGACGTATGATAGATGAGCTGAAGGAAGTTGTGTCAGGTGTGGCAGACGTTGCTGTGTGTGACAGAGGTGGAAACGCTCGGAACCTTGAGGGGGGGGGGGAGGGGGGGGGGGGGGGGGGGGGGGGGCAGGTATCAGAAGCCCATCCCTCTACCTGAAAAGTTTTTAGGCAAAACTAAAGTAACCCCCCCCCCCCCCCCCCCCCCCCCCCCCCCATTTATCTTTTTTTTAATGCTTTATATCCAGATCAGAAAGTAGTTTGTTCACGTCTTGAAGGAGCCAGCATTTAAAGCAATGAACTTGGCTGCCAGGTCGACCCAGCCTTGAATGGGTACCAGGAACAGTCTTAGGAAGTAAAGACGGTCAGCATATTGTTGACAGCTTCATTCACCAACTGTCGATTGGTCTATAAAATATAGCTCTAGCCCTATATGCCCAATATGCCTAGAGGAGTGGAACGTGATTCTTTTTTTCTTTTACATTATTATATTTTTATACTAGCATATTAAATTATTCATGGTTATGGTTTATTCAACGGATCACCATCATGGCACAAGGGGTACTAGCCCATAAGTGCTCCGTTCTACTTCTAACTCAAGCCTGAGTCCGAAGAGTCCCAGCGCAGTGCACGAACTCCGTAGCACCGGTGAGGATCCTAAAATACTTTAAGTCGATTTTTAAATCCAAATGTTGCCCGGGCAACGCCGTCAGACTACTCTTTTCTATTTCCAACAGCCAAGAGTTTTTGTTTTCAACGTGCGCACAAATACACACAGGCGTCCGATCTTACTACCCAGAGACAATTAACTAGAAATCCGCGTGAAAAAATCCCATCCATTACCACGGCCTGAACCCGGGACCTTCAGCACTCGAGGCAGACGTCATGCATCGAGACCACTCAGCCCCCCCCCCCTCCCCCCCCCGCACCCCCATAAATTATTTATATATTGCTGTATGTTATAAAAATTTTTAATTATATATTTATTATTATTATATTTCTCGTTTTGATCGGTGGGCTGTATATTGTGTATTTTGGTAGGTAAGTAGATCAGGATGTGGAGAATTAGTAGTTTTTTCCCCCTTCGTCTTTCCGGGCTACAGTATTCCATTGTTCTAGGAAGCGGCATGGCGATCACAACCCGCATAAGTCTAGCTAGAAAGACTAGCTGGCGTTAAAAGAAGAAGACGAAGAGAAAGAGGGGGAGTAGGATGGCGTAGAGGAGAAGGAGGAGGAGGAAGAAGAAGAAGAAGAAGAAGAAGAAGAAGAAGAAGAAGAAGAAGAAGAAGAAGAAGAAGAAGAAGAAGAAGAAGAAGAAGAAGAAGAAGAAGAAGAAGAAAAAAAAAAGAAGAAGAAGAAGAAGAAGAAGAAGAAGAAGAAGAAGAAGAAGAAGAAGAAGAAGAAGAAGAAGAAGAAGAAGAAGAGGAGGAGGAAAAAGAGGAAGAAGAAGAAGAAGAAGAAGAAGAAGAAGAAGAAGAAGAAGAAGAAGAAGAAGAAGAAGAAGAAGAAGAAGAAGAAGAAGAAGAAGAAGAAGAAGAAGAAGAAGAAGAGAAAGAAGAAAAAAGAAGAAAGAAGAAGAAGAAGAAGAAGAAGAAGAAGAAGAAGAAGAAGAAGAAGAAGAAGAAGAAGAAGAAGAAGAAGAAGAAGAAGAAGAAGAAGAAGAAGAAGAAGAAGAAGAAGAAGCAGTAATGCAGCACCATCAATAAAAGCAGTAAACACGTAGACGAACGAAAAAACGAATAGACAACCAACATTCTACACTCACCTATTAAAACATTCCTCGAGATCAATAAAAGGCAAACTAGGTCCATCCCTGTACGGACACAAGCGAAAGAAGAAATGGCCCATCTGGTTCGCTGTGACGTATATGGTTATATTTATGACATTGTATCTGTGGGAGTCACTGATTCCTGCAGTGTTTCTGCGTGTAGTGTACGTTCTTTGTGGTGGGAATTGGGAATATTTCCCTGGATATTCATTCTCACGGATGCCACCACTTTTGTCACCGCATGCTCCACAGGCGCCGTTCCGTTGCTTCCACTGGTACTGTAATACAAGACATATGAAGTAAGATCAGTAAAATTTGCTTACTTGATAACAAACCAGCAAAACAAACATGTTGTTCGTCCATTACGAGTGATGGTGACCATGTTCATCCAAAGTAGTAACGATCAATGAGTACAAAAGTCCAATATGAGCCAGGAAAGTTCTTGACCAGTGCAGACAACAGATGGAAGCCGCAGTAAGTGTGGGATTAGCAGTATGATTCTTTCTAGTCTGCTTCCATTTCTTTGCGTATGCAACCTCCGCTGCGTGGCAGGCCAATGCACCATGTCTGAGGGACGTACACCATCCAGAACGGTCTTGTGCAGCAGCCTTCCATGTCGCTATGTTGATGCCAACAGAATTGAGAGCAGTCTTTATAAAGCTTTTTCTGTCCTCCCTGGAATCTCTTCCCTTGCTGGAGCTCGCCATAAAATACTCTCTTTGGGAGGCGATAGTCTGGCATGCGGGTTAGGTGACCAGCCCATAAACAAACAGCCTATCCAAAAACAAACAAAACACAGTCTATCATACAACAAACAAAACACAGCCTATCCTACAACAAACAAAACACAACCTAGCCAACATCAAACAAAACACAGCCTATCTAACAACAAACAAAACACAGCCTATCTAACAACAAACAAAACACAACCTATCTAACAACACACAAAACACAGCCTATCTAACAACAAACAAAATACAGCCTATCCAACAACAAACAAAACACAGCCTATCTAACAACAAACAAAACACAACCTATCTAATAACAAACAAAACACAGCCTATCGAACAACAAACAAAACACAACCTATCTAACAACAAACAAAACACAACCTATCCAACAACAAACAAAACACAGCCTATCGAACAACAAACAAAACACAGCCAACCCAACAAAAAACCAAACACAGCCTATCTAACAACAAACAAAACACTGCCTATCTAACAACAAACAAAACACAACCTATCTAACAACAAACAAAACACAGCCTATCTAACAACAAACAAAACACGGCCTATCTAACAACAAACAAAACTCAGCCTCTCTAACAACAAACAAAACACTGCCTATCTAACAACAAACAAAACACGGCCTATCTAACAACAAACAGAACACAGCCTATCTAACAACAAACAAAACACAGCCTATCTAACAACAAACAAAACACAGCCTATCTAACAACAAACAAAACACGGCCTATCTAACAACAAACAAAACACACCCTATCTAATAACAAACAAAACACAGCCTATCGAACAACAAACAAAACACAGCCTGTCTAACAACAAACAAAACACTGCCTATCTAACAACAAACAAAACACGGCCTATCTAACAACAAACAAAACACAACCTATCCAACAACAAACAAAACACAGCCTACCCAACAACAAACCAAACACTGCCTATCTAACAACAAACAAAACACTATTATCTAACAACAAACAAAACACAGCCTATCTAACAACAAACAAAACACAACCTATCCAACAACAAACAAAACACAGCGTATCGAACAACAAACAAAACACAGCCTACCCAACAACAAACCAAACACAGCCTATCTAACAACAAACAAAACACAGCCTATCTAACAACAAACAAAACACACCCTATCTAATAACAAACAAAACACAGCCTATCTAACAACAAACAAAACACAACCTATCTAACAATAAACAAAACACAGCCTATCTATCAACAAACGAAACACAGCCTATACAACAACAAACAAAACACAGCCTATCCAACATCAAACAAAACACAGCCTATCTAACAACAAACAAAACACAACCTATCTAACAACAAACAAAACACAGCCTGTCTAACAACAAACAAAACACAGCCTATATAACAACAAACAAAACACAGCCTATCTATCAACAAACGAAACACAGCCTATACAACAACAAACAAAACACAGCCTATCCAACATCAAACAAAACACAGCCTATCTAACAACAAACAAAACACAGCCTATCTAACAATAAACAAAACACAACCTATCTTACAACAAACAAAACACAGCCTATCTAACAACAAACAAAACACAGCCTGTCTAACAACAAACAAAACACAGCCTATCTAACAACAAACAAAACACAGCCTATCCAACAACAAACAAAACACAGCCTATCTAACAACAAACAAAACACAACCTATCTAACAACAAACAAAACACAACCTATCTAACAACAAACAAAACACAACCTATCTAACAACAAACAAAACACAGCCTATCCAACAACAAACAAAACAATCAAATAATCTAACAACAAACAAAACAATCAACCAACCAGTTAGTTGAGCATTTTAAAAACCAAGCGCAACTATGCGTTCAGTTCACAAATCTAACCCATTTATTCTTCTTTGAGTATCCTATGTGTTGTGGTTAACAATTAGACTGCTGCGATATTTGCGCCTTTCGGTCCAACACATCGAAATCTTTTAAGTCCACAAATTTGAGGCCATAACCCCCACGGAAAATATAACATCCAAACAAGATATTTATCAATCAAACAACCAACTAGAAGGTTAACAAGCAACGATTCTAACAATCGTCTATTACTACCACTGCCACGACCATAACAATTATTACTAATGCTATCACCACCAACAATACGACTACTTCCACCACCAACACTACCTCCACTACCACTATCACCACGACTACTACTACTACCACCACCAACACCACCACCACTACTACTACTAATAATAATACCTTCCCTATTACTACTACCTCCACTGCTACTACTACCATCACCACTACTGCTACCACTACTGCCACCACCTCTACTACTACTCATACAACCACTCTAACTACTACCACATTACCACACTACTACCACCACCACCTCTATGATACAACCAATACTACTGCTACTACTACTACTAACACTATCACAATCACCACTACTGCTACCACCATCACCACAACTATAATAGCACCAGTACTACTACTACCAACACCACACACCTCTAGAGCACCTACCTCAAAACCTCCACAATTAAGCAGCTCATCGTTGATATTGACCGGGGCACTGATGCCCTCTCTGGTAATGTCCTGTCTCCAGTAACTGGACCTCATGGGTGGCTCCACCATCCTGGCTCGAGCCCTAACACTGCCCACAATTGTCAGCAGCAGAAGTGACCTCACGAGACCGGAAGTGCTGAGAGTGATCGGGTTGAAGTTAGGACAGCATGACGTCAT